TGGTTTTGGAGGATCAACTCCTATACCAACCGGGGAATTTCATTTTATTATTATTATTTTTTTTAGGGAGTTGACTCCCAAACCTGTCGGAGGTTTTGGGGGTTTGACTCCCATTTTTCAGGGATTCCGGGGCTTGGGAGTCGGCTCTCCATTTTTTGGGAGTCGTTTAACCAAGCCCCATTTCAAAATACTTTTTATAAGTGGGGTCTTACTCTTACAGACCGACAGACAAATAAGATCTCAAAGAAGCACTCATTCAATCCAAGTCCAATATCACAATGGAATAAGGCTACAATTATAAACACGTTTTTGGTTTTTTTTTCAAAAAGTTTTGAAATTGTCTTGAAATTCGTTTCTTTTATTTTTTTAGGGAATTGATAGCTTGATCAGTTTTCAAAACTGATTTGATAACAGTGTGTAATCATAAACCCAAGCTCTGATTTAGCCCGAAAGTCCCTGGTGGTCCTGACGTTTGCAGACTTCTCTGCTCAGAACTCTAACCGGCGGACTGGGGGAAAGGAGCAACATCTGAGGCTGTAATTATAAACAGCTTTTTGAGTTTTTTTTGAGAATCTTTTGAGTTTGTTTTGAACTCAATCTCAAAAGTTATTTCTTATGTTTTTTCTCAAAAAGATCTCAAATCGGCTCGGAGGGTTGATTTGAGTTCAATTTTTTTAAAATTTTAAACATTTCTCATCTTTTGCAACCGCCAAGAGGTCTGTGTACGGGTCTGTGTACTAGGATAAATTCTACAGAACCCTTGTGCTGAAACACCAAGGTCCTACCTCAAATTCAGCTTTCCGGCTCGGATGTTGCCCCTTTCCCCAGTCCGTCGGTTAGAGTCCTGAGCAGAGAAGTCTGCAAACGTCAGAACCACCAGGGGTTTGTGGGATACATCAGAGCCTTGGGTTTATGATTACACATCATTATTGAATCAGTTTTGAAAACTGATCAAGTTATCAATTAAACAAAGAGAAATGTGTCGGCCAGTTACTTTGGCGGGCAGCATTTATCTCTGTTCATTTTCTGTTTCCCACTTATTTTCCTTCTTGTAGGCGCCTGGACCAGAATATAGCATAGTTCACAGACAAACGGTAAATGTTCAATACCCTAAACCACGCTACATTCTGGTCCTCCCATAACCCTGACCTCTATCCATCAAGATGGTCCTGCTTTTATACCCCAACACCTGCCCCTCGCTTCGAATCTCGGCCCCACCCATCTCTTACCAGTTCCGGTTCAGTCAAAGCTCATTCAACTTGGTCTCCATAATCTGTTTTTTCCGAGTCCGTTTGCCGGCACGTTGAACCCCACCTCCGATTGCAAATCCTTGAATCTGACTTCACTGCCAAAATGATTGTATCAGATTGCTACATCTGGCATTATATCAGATAAAAATATCTGATATTACATCAGGAAAGACTGGGATTGTATCTACTAGAATTGATATTATATCTACCTAAAATGATATTGTGTATATCATGAAAGATATTACATCAGACTAACCTATTCAATTTCAACATAACTGAATCCACATCAGATTTTTCCATCTGATTCAATGCCCATGGGCTAAAAATTTGTATCAGATGCAAAAATCTGATGTAAAATCAGTTATGTTGATGTTAAATAGGTTGGGGTGATGCAATATCTGTTATGATAGATATTACATGATTTTAGGTAGATATAATATCAATCCTGATAGATATAATACCAGTTTTGCCTGATGTAAAATCAGATTTTTCATCTGATGTAATGTCAGATGTGGGAATCTGATATAATCACATTTGCAGTGCTTCCGCATCCGTCGTCACATTTTGATCATCAAACTACCCCGATTAATCTGATTCCACATCCGTTGTCACACTTCGATACCTAAATCCTGCGATCATCCTCCGATTCCGATTCCAGCCCCAGACATTGTGAAATTTCCTGCTGGTCACAACTTTTCCAGCCATCCTGAACCCCACCTCCAGTAACAAGAAACTGAATCTGACTACTGCATCCGTCATACCATCCCGATCATCCAACTACATACCACGATTATCCTGCCTTTCTGATCTCAGTCCCAGATATTCTGATGTTTCCTGCCACTCATAACTTTCCCAATAGGAAAATTAACATATCCGAGCCCCAAGATCTCAAAGATCTTCCTCTCCCAAATCAAGCTCCAGTCAGTTCAAAAGCTAATTCCGGTCATAACTTTTCGAGAAAAAATCTACACAATTTCTTTGACCCACAATTTAACTTCCGATTCCGCAGTTTTTTGACGGTCTCCCTGCAACTAATACCATACTTTCTTGCTGAGAAATACCCCCCTCTTCTAAGTAGGTACTGCTGTTTCTGATCTCAAATTACCTAACTCATCCCTTAGGTTCGTTTGAATAACAATTTGATTTCCGATTCCACAGTTTTTTGACCGTTTCCTTGCGATTTATACCATCCTTCTTTGACGGAAATTACCCCTTCTTCTATGTAGGTCCTGCTCCCCAAACAGCTCCATCACACTTATAATTTGCCATCTCCCACCCTCAAGACCGGTCAGTGGGAAAAGTTTCCATTGGGGCAGGGGTGAAAACATTGAACTTGATCCAATGAATTGGTTCAATTTTGGTACCGGTGCAGGACCATGGTATCGCATCTGGGATCCGGTATAGGTTGTTAGATCCCAGTCGAGGATTATCTGCTAAGAATGTGAAACAATGAACAGAAAATTGAGAATGGTACATTGTTCTTGGGAAATGGTAAAGGAGATGGTTTGAAGGGATGTAGGGAGCAGGTCGTTGAACTGTTAGACATACTGTAAGGGAAATATGAATTGGAATTGAACGCCGAGTGTGTGGTCTGTTGCTAATTTAAGGATTCGGTGTATGGTATCAAATCGCCAAGATTGTTATCGTGTCATTATCACGTGGGGCCAAAAGCGGCCTCTAAGAAATTTACCCATCAGGAACGGAGGTAGGCAGAGAAGTACGGTTTTGGTGGGTCGGAACACCAGATTTATTGTTCTGAAGCCGGATTTGGAAGTTGTTGAGACTGGTTCATGATTCTGGAAGTAGAGGTGGTTGAGTCGAGTTCATGTAGAGGGATTAGTTCCAGCGAGTTGAATCTGACTTGAAAAAGGAAGGTTGAACATCTTGGTAACTGTTATGTTTCAATTATGGGAGGTTGAACACAAGAAGTGTATGATGTACTCAACTTCAGTTATGATAGCTTGGTCTATTGTAAAGGATGAACCCATGTGGGAAAGCATGGTATTGAAGGGTACATGCCAGGTTAAACAGTCTTAGGCCGCTGTCCCTGAACGCGGCTTCGCCGCGAGTTCCCTAGTTCACTAAAAAAGTAAAAGAAACAAATTTCAAGATGGTTTCAAAACGTTTTGAAAAAAAATCTCAAAAACCTGTTTATAATTGTAGCCTGAGCCAAAAAGCTGAAATCGAGGTAAGACAGGAGAGTGCCACTATCGGCCACTATGCAAGGGTGGTGATTGGTGTTTCAGCACAAGGGTTCTGTAGCATTTATCCTGATACACAGACCCATACACAGACCTCTTGGCCGTTGTAAAAGATGAGAAATGTTCGATATTTTAAAAAAATCAAACTCAAATCGACCCTCCGAGCCGATTTGAGATCTTTTTGAGAAAAAACATAAGAAATATTTTTTGAGATCGAGTTCAAAACAAACTCAAAAGATTCTCAAAAAAAACTCAAAAAGTTGTTTATAATTACAGCCTAAGAACATATGGAAACAAAAGAATCAAGGGGTAAATAGACACTTGTAATTTGCAGTAATCAATCTTATCAATGATATTTTGCTCGTGTGTTGTATGTGCAGCTAGCTTCTTGAACAAAACACACGTCTGTTATGACAACTGTCACCAATAAGCAATCCTTACTCATGATGGCCATTTCAATCATAGTGGAGATGAACAAGGCCTGGTGGCGGCTGCAATGACCAAGCAGCAATGTTTTAGGGGTGGCATGTGGCGTGACCGCAGGAACTGTTGAGCACGGCCTTCATTGATATGTACCTGGAGCCGTCTTGCCACATCCTTCAAGATGAGGGACCATTACAATGCTCAATGGAGTGTTTTTCAAAAGCTGGGTGATGGGGCACAGTATGATTGCTGCTCTGCCCTCCTCGCGGGGCTGCCGCTGCCTGCAATGAATCCACTTCCTATCATGGAATTTTACAATGGCCTTCAGCGAAGTGGCCGCTTTGTAAATTTGAACAAAAGAAGCAAGCGCCAAAAGTGGTTACCAGGTCAGACCAGGCTTGATAATGGCTCAGAGTCACCACATTGATGATCACCTCATGAGCTCGAAAAGGTGATGATGGACCCTTCTGTTCTTTTTACATAGCTCAATTTGTGTCCTATTTCCCAATGCTTCGTTCAGCACAGGCACGTTGCATCTGGAGAACAAAAGAAATAACCAGGTTCAATGTCACTAGCCAGATGTCTTTATTCAGTTGCACAGTTTACTCCAACCACATTGCTCACCGCGTTCACAACCCTTTTCATCTTTTTAGTCTCCCAAAGATCACAAACAACATCTATCCATTTTGATGACCGCCCACGTCATCCATATCACACTATCTTATTCTTCCAAGTAGCTCTTGAAATAAGATACAGCCATGACACTTCCGCCGGAATTGTTACTTCAAGTTCTTGAGGAGACTGATTTCAAAGGCATATAACAGCTTGATGTACTAGACTCTCCAGGACACTGGTCTCTGCCTGCTTTTCCAGTGAAAGCTCAATGGGTTGAACGGGTCAAGTTGGAGATGGTAGCTTGGAGCAACAGTTCCCTCAAAATGCATTTGCTGAGCAAGATTTTTGATTTGATCATACCTCGAGGATGACAGGCTCGGCCATCCTAGACATCCATGATCACACTAGACGGTTTATTCCCAAAAACAGAGACGTCTCATCTCCATACAAGCACCTGAAAGTCTTCACCGACCAAGGATCATCTGCCGACATCTGGGACCTGCTCAAGAAAAATCATCAAAATATAGTGTCATTCTTCCTTGAAATGGGTCTGGGGATTTTTAGCAAAAATTTACTGGATTTAGATTTCCAGTTCCAATTTTTCCCAAAACTGACAAGTTTTACCTTTTGCAGCAATGCTCCAAATGAATGGTTTGATTTCAAGAACATGGTCCAACTCCTACGCAACTGTCCGGTGTTAAAATATTTCACAATCTTCCAACTCCAAGGTCCAAAAACTCACAAAGAAGCGGTTCAAATCTTGAACACTCAAGGCAAGGCTGCATGTAAGCTAAGATTGCTGCATATTTGGCGCGTTCAACGTGTGACCAAAGACAACCTGAGCTTCATTGTTTCCGGCTCACATCAAACACTCAAAGAACTAACCTGGGTTTACAAAACATCAGGTGAGAATCTGCAGCTGGAAAGTTCTGGATTTTACCGTGGAATTAGAGCCAATGAACTGCAGCAAGTGTGGGTACCTTGTGAGGTGATTGAAAAACTCTGAATAGCCGATCTGGTGGCGTGTATGGTTGACTACACCTCAGACAATAGGATACGACCAATGTATGATCACAACGCTCCGTTGGGGCCAGTCTTGGATCGTCTAGTCAGACCTTTTGGTCAACTCAAATCTCTCCAAGTCTTGGGCTCAATTTTCACAATGGATCTCTTTGACAGCTAGAGGGATAATGATTGCCTGTTGGAATCCCTTTCAATCAATCAGTATTTCCAATTTCTGTTTCCAAAATTTGTGAATCAATTGGCATCCTCAAATCAAGCATTGAAAAAACTTAAGATTCTATCCTTTGGGCAAGCTGTGGAAGCAAAGGACAGTTGTTGGTCCTTGTTGGCTCAGATTTGAAAAGATCACACAATTGAACTTTCACACTATTGAAATTTGAAACCACAATATGATTGGTAATAATGATCAAATTGAGACATATTGTATCTATAGATCATATGATAGAATGAACACTTAAAATTAATCCCCGTGTAAATATTTGGACTGTTGTATTTATGTGAAGCCCAATAACTCTGATCACTTTGCTTCAAGAACTAATATCTGTGCCCAATTGAATAATTGACAAAGATTCTATAGGACCTCAAGTTGCTTAGTGATCAGAGACACATTTCTCAAACCAAGCTGTAAAAAAACACTCATAATGCAGTAAACCTGCAAAGAATCTATCACCGCTGTATAAAACAAAAATAAGGAAAGAGGCGCAGGTTTTGAGAAGCTTGCAAGGCTCATTGGAATCTTTGCCTCAACATCATCTCCAATGGTTTCTATATGGTCCACACCAATAAATCCTATCATCCTGTTTCAAACTTCTCAACTAATTATGAGCAAGAGTAAAATTGAGACCATTCTTGAAATGAACTGAACAGAGTATGATCTCATTTTTATCTTTCTAAGTTAGCTTGAAGACACTGGAGTGACAAGTCTGAAGTTATATAAATTTATAATATATCCTTATTTTTCCACTTGAATTTTTGAAATTTAGTAGAGGTCAACAGAAAGATTTAAATACACACACTTGCCGCACAAACTTACAGTACAGGACGCAAAGAGGCTCTGGAGCAAGCTTGATCACACAACCTCAACCATTGGCTGTTCTGTGCAAAATTACATTCCCCTTTAGGGTTTGCATTGTTCATGGAATAGGCATAACTTGTCCGCTGCATTAATAGTGTCAATGGTGCTTTCATTACCACTCGGCTCACCATTCTGGTGATAAATTATCGGGTAATTGGCTTTGCATTCAGGATGCAAGTGGGTTGGGTCGACCCGCCGGGTACCCGAGACCCGGCGGGTCACGGGGCGGGTTCGGGCAGGCTAGGATTGGAAATTGACCCGGCCCGGATTTAACCCGACGGGTCGGTGGGGCGGGTATGGTCAGGACGGAATGCATTCGGGTCGGCTTGAGATTGACTGAATTATGTACTTGATTAAAAAGAAAGTGATTTTTGCTGGGTTGACCCGGACCCGACCCGAGACCCGACCCGACCCGACCCGAGGCACTGTGTATTTGGGCCGGGTTTGGTCAACATTTTACAATTTTTGCCCCGACCCGCCCCGCCCCGAGGATTTGGCGGGGCGGGTTTGGTCACTGTTTTTTGACCCGAACCCGGCCCACTTGCATCCTGACTTTGCATATTGCTAATGCGCTCTTTAGATGACATAGCTGCACGCAGATCGGATAATCAATTGTGGCCTTCTCAACACTCATTTAACAGTACATTACACCTCATGCGTAGTGACAATACACGGTCAACTGAAAAGTGCCACTCATTCCGTAGATCTTGGATCACGGAACGCTAACATGTTGGCTGTAGTCTGCTGCTGACTGGCAGAGAAGGCGTAATAGTACGCTAGTTACGGTTTCAGGACAAGCTGGCATTACAGTTGATTACATGAACCAAATTACAATTTCAATCCAGTTCTTTTGGTTCTGTCTCGTGACCGTAAGCTGGGAAGGAAAAAAAGTTGAAACGATAAAAAGTCAGTGACCATTCTCAAAGTAAGTCTTTGGAGCCCATCAAGTTGTTGAGGGGAAAATTATGTATGATCCTTACGTTTGGCCCGGAATGTATTTTCGTCAAAGTGATGCAGTCTAACATAACCGTCTTCACCACCGATAGCATAACCTTTTCCTTCGGGATGAACAGCGATTGAATTGCAAGGACCGAAACCACCCTTGATACGTGAGACCTCCTCCTCAAAGACTACATGCCACATCCGGATCTCAAAGTGACCCTGGCGAGCGGAAGTGGTTGTGACAGCCATCGCTTCCTGACCACCGCCCATGAGGAGATAAGGCTTCCCAGGGATGAGTGCAGCACTGTTCAATGGTGTCTGTGGATCTTGGTACGATTTGATTACTTCGAGTGTTCGTGAATCGTAAAGCTAAGTTGGTCATCCAGACCCCAGGAGAATAAGCACTTGTCACAAGTTCTAATAAACTGATCGAAAGACTTACTCGAGCGCTTTTGTCTTTGGAACTTGTCACAAAGTAAGTGCGATCAGCGCTCATTTGCAAATCTGTGATCAAGCCGATGTGGTTTTTCTCTTTGGAGGCGACTTCTTCTCCGGTATTGACATCCCACAGGGCGACTTTGCCATTCTCGTGCCCGGTGATGAGGTGTTTATCAAGAGAAGAGAATGCCACGACTTGGGCTTTTGAGCCAATCGGGTTGAAGACCAGCAGAGGTTCGTCCGGTTCTGCCACAGGTGATCAATTTTTATTAAAGTAATTCATAAATCGTGGAAAAGCAACTTGAGTTAAGTCAGTGGCTGCCAAAATGGAGAGGGAAGCAAGTTGGAAAACGGATCACTTACGGGGGCCACCATCACGATTGATTTCAAAAACACGTACAGCACCCTGGTGACCCATTCTCTGCTCGGTTACGAGCGCAATTTTCGTATCGTCTTCACTCCAGGAAACACGTTTGATAGCAGTAGGAAATTCCCTGCAGAGAGACGTTCGCTTTAGTCCAGGAGGGGTTTCTGATTTCATTGCACATTGTTTTTCGGTGTGCTATGAATGATCTCACCAAGCCTTTAGACATTCCCCAGTGGACACTTTCCACAGACGCATGGAGTTATCCGCTGACCCCGAAACCATAAATTCAGATTTTGCTGATGAACGTATTTAACGAAGTAGACAGGATCAGTCAATATCGATACAGGGAGATGATATGATTCTTCTTATGATCAAGTTGTGAAGGGTCCCTAGACTGACAATCCACATCAACCGACCAGACTGTACCGTTATGGCCATTGTAGGTTCCAAGTCGCTCCCCGTTGTGAGTGAACCAGACGTTGATGATATGGTCTTTTGAGCACGAAAAGAGCAGGTCTCCCTCTCGGTTATATTTGACTTGGGTCTGCAATCGAGGTGGATAGTAGGGCAAAGTTATAGTTCGGTTTCGATCTGGATCGGCAATGGAACCAGCATTTCATTGGAAACTAGACTCACCAGGGACCTCTCGTGACCGGAAAGAAGGATTGGGCGCATGATGTTGTGCTGGGGTCTCGGTCGGCAAGCAGGGTTGGTTCGTTGGAAGTTTTTTGGACGCTCGCAGCTTGTGGGAGGACTGACCCCGGTGAAATACTTGGAGGTGTCACAGTCTGTCACACGTGTCGTATCACCGATCATGTGACAGGTCATGCTGACATTCACAAATTGGCGTACATACATACACCACAGGTCGATTTTTTTTCGGAGCTCGCGTCTGCTGGACCCCGCGGTTGTGCACAGGGCAGCGGCAACCTATATGCCCTGGATTTCACGGAGCAGACAGGTTGCTGTTAGGGATCGGTGAGGCCTTCGTCAGTCAGACCTATCCGACTCCGAACTTAACACAAGTCCCCCTGGTGGGAGGCTCGCTGGTGTGACTGGCTGGGCGCGAAGCGCCCCCTCCCGCAGGGAGGGACTTGAAACTTAAAACGCATTTGCGGTGTGACCCAGAAGCACCGTTTTGGTGGTGGCGACCTTGTTTGCCCCACCACTCATTCATTACAACTCAAATTTATTTTTAATTCATGTGGATGAAAGATCTACATAATCCAGATTTTTAGATATTTTTTTGATTGCAAAAACCAGTCTGGTTCTGGTAGAAAACATGCAGTGAAGTTCATGATTTTGAACTTTGATTTGGAAATTTGGCAGAGAGGCTCGAGCGCACTCTCAGTATAAGCATATTTTATGCCTGCAAAATGAGAATTTGTCTTTTTTCTGTTTGTTCTTTTAAAAAAGATTGGTATGGAAATAAAAATATGAAAAAATACAGATATATCAAGGAGATGTCATAGAACAAGGAAAAAAAGCACAATGAAATTTTGAGAGCAATAACATCAAAAACAGAGGGGAAAACACAAAAAAGGACCTCAAAATCATGCCTGCCTCATGCGGGCTTTGAGTAATACGTTGTAAGCCTCTCTGACAAGACTGGGCTGCCGCCCAGACCTGCCCGCAAACGACTCTCGTCACGAGAGGATTAGTTAAGCTCGATCCGACTCAAACGTGCGACCAACCCTGCCAACATGCCATGTCGGCAGAGTTGGAACAACACTCAGGTTGGACACGGCTTACAGCCGACACAATCCGGTCCTGATTGTCCGGCCAACGGTGTCAACACATTGAGCCCTTGTCAAGCCGACCGATGAGAGGACAACAAATCACACTTTTCTGCAAAGTATCCTACGCCTCTTTCCATCTAAATAAGAGGCTACACAGGAAAACAGATTACAAAAAAAAAAAAAAAAAAAAAAAAAACTTGTAAAAATAAACCACAAAAATTTCTGAAGTGGATGAGCAAGATTGAGATCGGATCGGTCCTGATCTCAAAGTGTTGGGATAGAGGAATTGAATTTGGTTGAGTGGTCTGCACTCCCCGGAAGACATGAGCATCTCCCATGATGGAAGAAGTTCAAGCCCCACGGGTGGCGTGTTTTTGTCAAGCACACCTGGTTTGCCCATAGCTGGGCCAACCGCGGCCTTGATGTAAGGCCAGCGTCGGAAGCAATCCCGACGGCGGGCACCCATGTAATGCCCACGTTGGAGGGTTGGGCCAACGGCGGCTCCCGACACCTCCCGCATAGAAACACACCAAGCGATTAAGGGGGGGTCGGCAGGGTTGGTTTGACGTTGGCTCTGACGTCGGCCCCCAGTTGCACCAAACCCGTGGTGTAAGTATGTATGTATATGCTACACCGCTGATACCCAGTCCTCATCGGGCAACAGATTTGCAAACTGCAAATTTTATTGCTTGAATTCAACATTAAAACTTTAGAGTTTGAAATTTGAAATAGTCAAGAAGTAAAAAAGCATTTCTCATGGAACAAAAGTAACCAAATTGGATCTAAAATACAAGACGGTTAAAATTCCACAATCAAAGAATAATCATTTTATCTAACTTAAACAAGGAAGTGTTTTTTGATATCTCATTAGTAATTGACAAGAGGATCCAGAGAATTAATCAATCAAAAGGTTCACTTCATTCAAAACACACTCATACAGCATGTCTAGATTGTGATTTGGGTGATATGGGTTGCTTTCCAAGACTTTCTCCTTAAACCAGAATTCAAATAGTTGGATTGCTATCTTGTATCCCTGATACTTGGATTGATCATCCAAATCACTCAATTTGATTGATAGATATTTTTGGGCAGTGCTAAAGAGATTTTCTGGTGAACAAAGAGGTGGAAATTGAATTTTAACCCAGCCAAAAATTGGCAAGCTACTGTCAGTTTGAATGAATAAAATCCTCAGAAACCATTGTATGAAGTCCTCTCCTTGGTTAATGATTTCATTTCCAAGATTTTTTGTTGATATATTATGCAGAATAAAAATTGACTTGATAACTTGGATTATTTTGTGTTCAAGCAACCTGAATTTGTGTTTTCTGCTCCTCTGTGCCTCTTCAACATTCCTCAATCCAATGAAACAATCCTGATTCATGGAATTGCCTTGAATTGGAGAGACAGGCAAAATATATAATGGTAAACCATCCAAGATTACCCAGTTTTCATGACATAAATCAAACCGGCTTCTAGACAAATAACTCTGCAAATGTTTTTTGATAACTGAAATGATTTCTTGTGTGATACCTGAGCCCTGCTTTCTGATAACTGATTTTATTGATTCAAAAATCTCATTTCTTACCTTTTCCTTCTGACAAGTACTCATAGGAAGTTTTTTATCTTGATTTTCATAGATAGAGATGCTCTTGACCTGATTTGGTGGTTTCCTTTTAGATTCATTTATTTTGGACATTGAATTCCAGTAAGTTTCAGGTTTGTTGAATGTTAATAAACCAATTCCCAAGCTGGGATTTATTCTATACCAATAGCCTAACAATGAAATGGCAATTTCAGCTATATTTTGAAATTGCACACAGTTCCAGTTCCATTCAGCCAAAATTATAAACATTAATTTCTTGATGCTTCCAAACTTTTCACCAACTTTTTCTGCCACTTCCCATCTGCCCTTAAACCAACCAAAAACTGGTGGACCATCTTCAGTTTCTTCAAATAAAATACCCCAAAACCATCTCACCAAGTCTTCTAGAGTATTTCCCTGTTGGTTTCCCAAAATCCTCTTGTCTACTCCATATGAAATGGAAAGTCCATGAAACAGCCCCAGAGCTTCCAGAATTTCCACAATTTGATCTTTCTTAGTCTTTAAATTTCTTTTAAAATGTTTCAACTTTCCTCTAAGACCTTTTGGTTGAATTAAGAACTCAAAATAGTCTGATAGATGCAACTCATTACTATCAGCTAGGAAGAGATCTATTGGAGGGTTACTTATCTCAATTTTTTGATGAGGATTGGCAAGAGGCAATCGGTTGATTATCTTTTCTACTTTCTTCTCGAAATTCAAGATAAAATCTTTCATAATTCCTGATTCATCGGTTCTTCCGACCGATGTCTTTGCCCAAGCAAGCAGTGGATCCCATTTTGAATCTAAAATGATAATCTCAAAGTCTCCTGGTTTATGGTCAACTGCACATCTAAGTAGCTTGTGGCGCTGATCTACAGAACTAAGAGTAAGAGGCTCCTTGTCATATTTTTCGGCTTTCAGATCTTCTCCCATTGATTTTTGTTCCGGTTTGATTTCGATTTTTCTGGTCCGAACTTCTCTCGAGCGCTTCCCGGAAACCAAAACAGCTTTGGTGTCAAATGGGGTAATTTCTCCATCACGAGCCACTGGCAATCCGGGTTTAAAATGATCCAATTGCTCCCCCTCTGTTACCCACGACCAAACCATTTATTTCAGCAAATGGACAAGGCACTCAGGGAACTTCAATTCATGATAACTTACCTTCCTGCTTCACCCTACCCGATATGATTGGTCCCAGTGTGCCATGTTTGGACCCTTCACCTGAATTAGGCCCACTCCTCTCGTAAAATATATCATTATTCAACCGATGACTGGTGTTCCCAAATTCGATCCAAGTGCTAACTTTATTTGCACCCAAGTGGCTTGAGTCTCTGGTTACGAGATCCCCAAATTCATGAAAGTTGAATTTGGCTACCTCGCCCAAAGGAACATCTTTTGAGGATACAGGTCGGACAGAGATTGGCGTGGGAGGGGTGCTGATTGAGAGCTGTAAATAGGCAACCAGAAAGAAAGTTGTTTCAATTAAACATGGCCGATGCGCTCGAGTCATGCTGAAAATTGTGCAGGTAACTTTTTGGTGTGTATAAATGTGGACTTGAGTTTCTTTAGTGTTTTCAACTAATGGCAGCCGGCTTACTACGTGTCATCCCCTCCTTTCTAATATGTTTCTGCGAGTCGTTTTTTGTTATCATTTTATGCATGAAACTGATGGCTATATAGGTCAAAGTGTTTCACTCCAGCCTCAGGTTCCTTTCTAAACCCGTATTATGAAGACAGTGAATTGGACTGACAGCACACCGACGTCTCAAACGAGGTGAGGTACAGCTAAGCCAACAATGC